TGCCCTGTCAGGATGACTTCTCGGGATCAGCTGGTGCAGCAAGTGCTGCGGGATCTGCAGGAGGCAGTGGAGTCCGAGGGCCTGCAAAGTCTCACCAGTGCCGCCGTGGAGGCCAAGCAGGTCCTGTCTTCCTTCACCCTCCCCGTCTGCCAGAAGGGTGGCCCTGGGCCCCAGGTGCTGGAGGTGGACTCGGTGGCCCTGAGTCTGTACCCAGAGGATGCCCCTCAGAACATGCTGCCCCTGGTGTGCCAGGGCGAGGGTAGTCTGCTGTTTGAAGCAGCCAGCATGCTGCTGTGGGGGCACACCGGCCTCAGCTTGGAGCTGCGGGCCCGCACTGTGGTGGAGATGCTGCTGCACAGGCACTATTATCTCCAGGGCATGATCGACTCCAAGGTGATGCTGCAGGCTGTGCGCTACTCCCTGTGCTCCGAGGAGTCCCCCGAGATGACCAACCTGTCTTCCGCCACGCTGGAGGCCATCTTTGATGCAGATGTCAAGGCTACGTGCTTCCCTACCAGCTTCTCCAACGTGTGGCACTTGTACGCCCTGGCCTCCATCCTTCAGCGCAATATCTACTCCATCTACCCCATGCGCAATGTCAAGATCCGACCCTATTTTAACCGCGTTATCAGGCCTCGCCGCTGCACCCATGCGACCTCCATGTTGCACATCATGTGGGCTGGCCAGCCCCTCACTAACCACCTCTTCCGCCACCAGTATTTTGCCCCGGTGGTTGGGTTGGAAGAGGTGGAGGCTGATGGTACTGCCACCCTGAACCCCACTCCTCCAGTCCTGGGTTCTCTGCGACCACCCGCCGAGACCCTGGAGCTGCTCAACCGGGAACCTGGCCTCAGCTACTCCCACCTCTGTGACCGCTCCGGCATCACCAAGAGCACCTTCTACCGCTGGCGGCGGCAGACCCTGGAGCACCGGCAGAAGGTGGCCGCCCGCTTCTCGGCCAAGCACTTCCTGCAGGACAGCTTCTACCGTGGGGGCCTTGTGCCCCTGCAACAGTTCCTGCAGAGATTCCCGGAGATCTCCCGTTCTACCTACTATGCCTGGAAGCATGAGCTGCTGGGCTCTGGTGCCGATTCAGCCTCGGTCCCGGCTGCTCCAGCCGGGGAGGCACTGGCTGGGCCAGAGCTGGAGAGCCTGCCAGGGAAGAAGGCTGCCGAGGGACCGGGGCGCTCGTCCCTGGTGGCGGCCGTGTCAAGCCCTAGCGTGCTCTTCATGCAGCGCGCCAAGTCGTACCTGGAACATTGCATCTCTCTGAACAAACTGGTACCCTATCGCTGCTTCAAATGCAGGTTCCCTGGCATCTCGAGGTCCACCTACTACAACTGGAGGCGGAAGGCCCTCAGGAGGAGCCCCAGTTTCAAGCTGGCCCCGGCCCTTGCAACCGCCGAGTCTCTACCCCCAACGGATGTTGGGGACGGGGCCCTGCTCTCTTTGAAGGATGAGGTGGGAGAAGAGGGGACAGGGAAAGCAGGAGGTGGAGGCCCTCCTGTTTCCCAGGGGCTCGGTTCTACAAGGATGCCCCTGTCTCGCTGGCAGAGGCGACTACGCAGGGCTGCCCGCAAGCAGGTGCTGAGTGGGCACCTGCCTTTCTGTCGCTTCCGCCTCCGCTACCCTAGCCTGTCACCCTCCACTTTTTGGGTATGGAAAAGTCTTTCCCGGGGATGGCCCAGGGTACAGGCCTCCTCTTTGGGCCAAAGGAGGAAGGGGCCAGATGAAGGGCAGGAGCCAAATGAATGGCCGGAGATGGAAGGGGTTGAGAATGTATCAAATGAATGGCCGGAGATGGAAGCGGTTGAGAAGGTAACGTCTGCGGTGGTTCCTCAGGTGGAGACACTGCCAGGGGTTGCTGCTTCAGAAAACACTCCAGAAGATGCCCAGGGAGGGCCTTCTCGAGAACGGGTCATCCAGGAGACACCTATGACCCAGGGCCAACCCCACAGTGGATTCCTGTCGAGCCAGGCTGTGGCAGCCTCAGCAGGTGGCAGGGATGGCCAGGTGCTGGTGATGGACATGCTCACCACCACAAGGTTCAAGGCCCAAGCCAAGCTGTTCCTACAGAAGCGCTTCCAATCCAAGACTTTCCCCTCCTACAAGGAGTTCCAAGCGCTCTTCCCCCTCACCGCCCGCTCCACCTACTACATGTGGAAGCGGGCGCTCTTTGAAGGCCTCACGCTGGTTGATGGCTGATGAAGGGGAGACCTGAGTTGTCCCCTGACTTGGCCAGGATGCCCTTGACCCTCGACTTCCATAATTTCCCAGCTTGGGATGGAAATATGGAAGTCAGCCACCTCTTCTAACGAAAGCTACAGGATTGCCGATGGACTCTTCTGGTGTTGGCTCGCCATATATTTTTATTGTGTTTAGTATTTTTTTTTTTCCATTAAAGTGGGTTGGCAAGACCCCCTTGCCAGTGGATGTCATGATTGTGCCCAAGCCTTCTGCAGCTTTCCCTGGGCCCACAAAGAGTATTACAGCATGGCCATGTATCTTCTGTCAGGCAGAATATAGCTTTACTTTTTTTAGGGTGATGTCCTTTTTTCTCAAAGATGTCTTCTAAAGAAACAAGAAAATTGAGTGTGAGGCAGGTGTGTGGCTTTGTCTCCTGCCCCCAGGGGAGAAGGTGCCAGACTCTTCATCATCATGGGGAAGGCCCCTAGGCACTGGAGACCCTGGAGAGGAAGGCCTGCTCCCTCTGCTGGGGGAGGGGTCTCTGCCAGTCCTTGCCAGCCTGGCTGGCTGTTGAGTCGCATCTTTGGCAAGGAGCCACAAGGTTATAAAGGCTGACGGGAGACTGAGTTTTCATCGTCCAACAGCAAAGTTGGACAACCAAAGAAATAAAGTGATGCCTTGCTCACACCCTGCCCGATGTCTCTGGGATTTGTTTGGCTAAGACGTGACTGCCTGTTCCCAGGCTCCCTTTCGGCTGAAGGGGGCTTGGGACACCATTTCTGTCTTCTGATAGTACGTGCTTGAGACCAAGGCTTACTGGTAGGACTCTGGTAGGAATTGGATCTAAAGCGACAGTTTAGTCTGGCTGGATAAGACACTTCTTCCTCCACATAGGAGGTGTGTCGGGCAGGCTGGGCCCAGCCACAGATGAGGCTTTTGTCTACTGAGCTGAGGAGAGATTCTCTTAGGTCCTCTCGTAGTTTCCTGTAGCTGCCTGGGTTCCGCCTGTTACTTAACCCCACACCTGACCCTGTTAACTGTGCGGTGCTGGGAGTGGAATCCAGGGTCTTGCATACCAGTCAGATGGTCCATCACTGAGTCATCCCCAGACCCGTTTTTACCTAAATTCCAAGTTCTATTCAGAATCTCCCTTTGTTCTGCTGCCCACAACACAGCTGCCTCCTTCCCCTCCCACATGATCCCATCTCCAGAGGGATTTGGATGACATTAGATCCGTCACTGTCCTGTCTGTGGCCTCCTCTCCTCACGGAATCCCTTCCTTGAGAAGGGCAGTGTAAAATGGCCCCTGGCTCACTCTCTCCTCTGCACCATGCTTGCGATGGCCCACTGTTCCTGTCACTTTAGCTGTCCCTGATCCTGAACATGTGTCCTCTTTTCTGCTCGGGGGGCTTCACATATTTCCTTCGGTCTAAAATGCTCTCCCTCCTCTTCCTCTTCACTCCTTCCTCTCCTCATTTTCCCTTCAATCCCTGTCTTTCCCCTTCCTTTTAAAATGAGTTCGTTTTAAACACTATGCAACCGTGGCTATGCAGACCAGGCTGGCTTTGAACGCGACAGAGATCTGCCTGCCTTTGCCTCCTGAGTGCTGGATTCAAGTTCTGCATCACCCAGCTCTTCATGCCTCGGCATCGTATGGGGGGATTACAGGCATACACTACCACAGGCCGTTGTAATGCTTTTCTCGTTATCTATGCAGCAGAAGACCTGTGTCCCCGAGTCACTCTAGCCTCACTCTTGAATTCTCTAGTGGGGCCTCGTTTCTCTTGCGGCTTTCTTGTTTGGTTGCCCGCATTAGCATACAGGCTGTATGAAAAACCACTTTTTTTTGTTTGTTTTTTTGTTTTGTTTTGTTTTGTTTTTCGAGATAGGGTTTCTCTGTGTAGCTTTGTGCCTTTCCTGGAACTCACTTGGCAGCCCAGGCTGGCCTCAAACTCACAGAGATCTGCCTGGCTCTGCCTCCTGAGTGCTGGGATTAAAGGCATGCGCCACCACCGCCCAGCCGAAAAAAACACTTTTATTTTTCTTTTGCTTACAGCTCTGAATTCTACACACGGGAGGTGCTAATATTTGAAAAGAGAAGGAACAGAATGGGGCTTTACACCTCTCTTACTGTTAATCCTGTGAGATCTGGTTTTTGCAAACCTAACCAATGTCTTCACTGTTTCTCACAGCCCAGTTCTTTTCCCCCTCTTATCTCTACAGCCACCCTGTACTGGTCTGTGCCAGCAGCAGATTGTCTTGATATTGTATTGTTTTTCAAACCGACTCTGCCTCCACTCGATCTATTACTTCTTCCGGATGAGGTCCAGAATAATTTTACCTGAATCTGATTCGCTGCTGGTTTTCCCATTGCCCTCAGCACAGATTCCAAACTAGTGAGGCCCACTGGAGTCCAGCCCCCTACCTACCATTGAGCTTATTTCTCACACTCACGTTATACCCCCTCATCCAGGCTGAGCTTTCTCTCTCCTGCCATAGGACACACCCCAGATCCCTGTTGTTAATGTTTGTTGGTTTTATGCTCTGGACTGAACTCTGGGGACTTCTCTGAAGCTCTACCACAATGAGGATTTGGTGAGAGGATTGGACCAGGGGAGTTTAATCTAACTTGCAGTAGCAACCTCTAACCAGCAGGTGGCAGTCCAGTGCAATCCATTTTGGCCATGAGGTAGCCCCAAGGTCCCTTCTGAGAATATAATTACTGATACTGCATTTTCTTGCTCACACTCGGCACCAGAACAGGCCCTTTGAGGCTGGGAACAGAGTCTCCTAGTGGGACCTAAAAAACTTCATGGGATTTTGGCTGCAGCTCAGTGGATAACCACTTACCCAGTATGGGTGATGCCCTGGGTTCAATTCCCGGTACTGACACCAGAAATACATTTATGGATTGCTATCTAGAGGAAAGGGGGAGGGCTTGTCAGGAATGTGGACCCAGAGCCCCATCCAGATCTACTCATTCCCACCGTAGACATTCATGTGTCTCCTTTTTCCCATTTGAAGACAGGATCACAGTCATACTTAGGGTATGGTAGTCACCATCTCCCCATCTAAGAGTTAGAGGTGAGTGAGTTACGGAGGGCCCCTTGGAGTCTGATTTCTGTTTGAGGCAGGGAGGGTAGGCAGATGCCTGGGATGCTTGCTCAGGGTTACGCACTCGGGTCCTGAGATGGAAAGATCATTTCATCCAAGTCCATGTGTGGAGCCTGAAACCTGCAGCAGAAATTTTAGCTTCTGTTTCGGGGAGGCAGGAATGCAAAGGACGTGTCAGTATCATTGGAAAATGACTGTCTGCAGGGTTCAGTTTTACTACTGTGCCGAAGAACAGTTTCCTTTGTAACGTGCTTTGAAAGGCAAAGGTACCTAAGCTGTGTTCATACTTGTCAATAATGTTGATGCTCAGGTCTCACTAGAGAACACTGCCTGTCCTGGAACTTGACTATGTAGACCAGGCTGGCCTCGAACTCACAGAGATCCAAGACTGCCTCTGCTCCCAAGTACTGGGACTAAAGGCGTGCACCACCACCGCCCAGCTTCATGATGGTTTTGAGGTTGGCATTTGTTGAAATTATTTGTGGTTTTTGGTGCCACTTTTCATCCTGGCTGGATACCTATGAAGAAAAAAAAATTCAGAGCAACATTCTGTGTGGCTCTAAGGGAAAGTTTTATTTTATTTAAATTTACTATTTTATGTGTTTGGGTGTTTTGTCTGCATGTATGTCTGTATACCGCATGTGCGCCTGGTCCCTGAAGAGGCCAGAAGAGGGTGTCAGATCCCCTTGGACTGGAGCTGTAGACAGTTGTGAACTACTGTCTAGGTGTTGGGAATGGAAGCCCCATCCTTTGGAAAGACAACCGGTGCTCCTAGGTGCTGAGCAATCTCTGAACTATCTCTCCAGCCGCCTGGAAAGAACATTTTAAATATAAAAGTTTTTCCATCCTCCAGAGGCAGAGGCAAGCGGATCTGAACTTGAGGTCAGCCTTCAAGTGGATCTCTGTGAGCTGTAGGCCAACCAGGGCTATGTAATGAGCCTGTCTGAAAAAACTTTCACCCTAGGTTAGTCAGATGAGGTGGCTCAGTAAGGGCACTGGCTGCTGAGTCTGAGGACCTGAGTTTGGTCCCTGGGACCCACAGGATGGAGAGAGCTGACTCCTACAAGTTGTCTTCTGGTCTCCAGATGAATGCCGTGGGACACAGCTACAAACACAGCAATAAACAAATGTAATTTAAACATTTAAAAACCAGCCTAAAGAAACGTGACTCCTTCCCCTCTTATTTCTACATTTCCCACTGAGGAGATCAGTCTCTGTGGAGATTCTTGTCTGTCCTGGCACATGATTTGCTGCTCACATGTTTCTTAAGAACCAGCCAGGTGTGGTGGTATGTGCTTGTAATCTCAGCCTATGAGAAGCTGAGGAGGCCAGCCTGGGCTACATAGATAAGGATACTCCATCTCAAAAAAAAAAAAAAAAAAAAAAAGGCTAAGAAAGCCTGTCCCTGGATTTTAGTACTTGTGATTGTGATATTCTGCCACTCCAGGTTCATTCCCCATCCCTACCAAGTCACTCTTCTGTGGGTAACCTGCTCTATCTATGGGTAACGTGCTCTATAGCATCCATCTATCAGCTGAGCTGGCCAGGGGCTGGGTTAGCTATTTCTCCATTCAAAGATTACCAAGAATCCTTTATTTAGTCCATCTTGGCCCTCTCCACTGATACCAGGTCACACCTATGGGCTACTACTGGTTGTCCTGTTGTCTGTGGGCTGAGGTGCAGGTCAGTTGTCTTACTCCAGGGGGAGCTGGCAGATATAATCCATTCTCAGGGACCCCAGGGACCTTGAGACCTCTGATAGCTAAGGAGAGTCACTTGACTTCAATTCCTCTAGGGTTGGCAGGTCACATAGCTTTCTTTCTTTTAATATTTATTTTCATGTGGGCTGGAGAGATGGCTCAGAGGTTAAGAGCACTGGCTGTTATTCCAAAGGTTCTGAGTTCAATTCCCAGCAGCCACATGGTCCTGAGTTCAATTCCCAGCAGCCACACCGTGGCTCACAATCATCTGTAATGAGATCTAATGCCCTCTTCTGGTCTGCAGGGACACATGCAGGCAGAACACTGTATACATAAATAAATCTTTGAAAAATATTTATTTTTATGTGAATTGGTGTTTTACCTGCACGTATGTCTGTGTGAGGGTACCATATACCCTGCAACCGAAGTTACAGACAATTGTGAGTTGTGAGCTGCCATGTGGGGGCTGGGAATAGAACCCAGATCCTCCGGAAGAGCAGGCGGTGCTCTTAACCACTGAGCCATCTCTCCAGCACATAGGTTTCCATACGAAACGTGCAAGCTGGTTTTGCCTGGTATCTGGGTTCATCCTGCTCATGATCCAACCTATAGCGGTTTAGGAGGCTGAGGTGAGGTGGGGGTGGGGCACTGGGGTGCAGCTCAGTGGTAGAGAGAGTGCTTGCCTCGTACACCCAAAGCACTTAAGTCTGATTCCTCTTCAAGACTGACTTCAGTTTGCTGTGTACAGAGGGAGGCTGCTAATCTGAGGGACGGCCCTGGCCCTGCGGTCCTTAGGAAGGATCTGGAAGCTGAGAAGCAAGGCTTAGTTGCATGCAGAGAGAGGGTCCCACTGCAGCCCCCGCGTGCTGGCTGACCCACTTCTCACAGGAACCTTCTCTCCAGCTCCTGACGTCAGGGTTACCTATAGGGTGTCATGAACAGGTCCCCAAGTGCCCCCATCGCTATTTGCCTCATGGAAGAGGAGGAGTGGAGCTTTTAGGGAAATGTAGAGCAGCAGAAAGTAGGTTTAATGGTGTAAAAAATTCTTCCACGGAAGATGACTTTGGCAATAGCGTGAAATCCGCTTAACTCTGTGCTGAGCCGAGTGCTGGGGGCATGCAAGGCAGTGAGGAGACTCAGCAGGAGCCGCTCAGGAAGTAATCGCCCTGCCTGGGGTGGCTGGAGGCGGAAAGGCCACCCACGGAGGTCCTCCCCAGTGCTTCAACCACGGTTCAGACAGCAGCCCTCAGTGATGGGAGGAAGGAGGAAAAGCCAGGATGCGGGAGTCCTGAGTGAGGGAGATTCTGGAAAGAAATGAATGACTTTGGGTCCCCTTCTCCAACTCCCCAGGCCAGCCTGGCTCAGAGCTGGGCCTCTGCCTCCTGCAACTTGTGAGTTTTGATAATTTCTAGGTTCCCTGATTTTGGCAGAAGTCAGAATTGGGAACAGGGCTAGGAGACGTGACAGTATCCATGACAGGCGCTGTGGTTTGCACCGACCGGAGCTCAGCTTTTTGAGGACAGGAAGGAGGCTGGCATCTGTGCGATAGTAGGTGCTATGTTCCTCCCATTCATGGTTACCAAATAGGGGTTAGGGCACTGGGGATGTGTCTCAGCTGGTGGGGTGCTTGCTTAGCATACACAAGGGCCCTGGGTTTGATCTCCAGTTCTGTATAAACCGGATCGGGAGTTCAAGGTCATCTCCAGCTACATGGCAATTTGAAGCCAGCCTAGGATATATGAGACCCGGTCTCTAAAACAGGACCAGTGAAATGACTCCGTGGATTTGTTTGTTTTTTTGATAGAGACTTGGCTGGCCTGGAACTTCCCATGTAGACCAGGCTGGCCCCAAATTCAGAGAGACCCACCTGCTTCTGCCTCCCAAATGTTGAGATCAAAGGCGTGAATCACCACATTCACACCCAGCCGAAACAGCCCAGTGGGTAAAGGCACTTGACCTACACACCCGGTGGCCTGGGTTTAATGCCCAGAACCCACAAAAAGGTGGAAGGAGAGAA